TTAAGTGGGAGAACTTGCACAATTGGTGGCTGACTAAATACTTTTTTGTCCCACTGTATCCTCCATGACTTCTCAAAGATCACAGAAAGAGTTCTGAGATGACATCTACAAGACTCGCAGGGGAGCCTTAAGTTAACTCATGATAGCCAGGTGCACCCTAACTCTCTCTTTTCTTTTGTCAGTTGTTCTTATTTCCATTTGAATACAGTTCCCCTTTGGGGAGAAGACCTAGGCAAAGTAAGAGAGGGGACCTCTGCTCTCTCCCTTTACTTGTTACCTCACTACCATCTTCTCCAAGCAGCAGGTCCACTCCTCCTTTTTTTCCCTGAAGTAGCCCCAAATGCTTTTTGTTTGCTTTTACCTTCCTTTGCAAGCCAAAGCTCTTCTTATGATTTAACTTTTCTAAGTTATTTCTGAAAGTATTTGCTACTTGCTGGTACATCTCATTGTTGATGACAGCCATTTTCTGTATATGTCCCTTTTAAGTCTGCTTTATCAAAAGGTGCCTATCCATCCACAGCAGTTTCACATTTTTTTTAAGATACTGTTTTAGTTATTAGATAAATTTCATGGAGGAAGAGGCTATTCATCTCCAGTAATGGAAGATAATTCCTCTTCATACCTGTTGCTGGAATATTTGAGGAGGATACTCAGCATTTGTGTCCTCCTTGTGGGCTTTTAATTGGCAGAATTTTAGTTGAAAATTCTGGACCCACTGGATCTTTCAGTCTGATTGAACAAAGCTCTTTCTTAGGTTCATATATCATATAGAAATTCTGATCATTCCTAAATCTTTGTGATTGCAAAAGGTGGGAGAATAGTATTCCACGGTGGCCAGAAATGTGTGGCCATGTGATTTCAGTTTTCCTACTTAGGATATTTAAAGTATTTTAAGCTTCTTTCTCCTCTGCTGCTTATCCAGCAGAACAAAAGTGAACAGACTGGATGTAATCACTTTGTATTCTGTCTGTGTTTCTGGGACTGCAAAAAGTGGAGGGTGGAGAAGGTCAGACTGAGGAGAACATGTAGTACTTCTTTTCTGTAAGGAAAGATCTGTATGTATGATGGCATCACACCTGGGAAATAGCTCATGAGGTCACAACAAGGCTAGGGAATGTAATTCATAGTCTAGTCACACCTTGGCATCTTTGCTGGGTTCAGATGTTTAACAATTGCAGACCTCTGGCATCTTTGTCTTTCTGGAAGTACCAGTGGGAAAGGAGAGGTGCTTCACAGGAGCACTGAAGGCTCCAAACTAAAAACTCATAAACCCATAATTTAGGTGCTTGATGTCCTTATTCTGCCGGATCCCTAGGGGTTTAGCAGAAGTTCGAGCCTGTCTGCTTATTTTCCAAATCTGCTCACTGTGCTTACAGTCAGTCTCATTGCTTTCTGTTTCTTTGCAGCTTGCTTGCTACGACCAGGCAAAGCAGTTGGTTCTTGGGACCGGTTTACTTGCTGACAATATTTTTACTCATTTCCTGGCCAGTTTTATTGCCGTATGTATATATCTGTGTAGGTGCGAAGTCAGTTTGGGTGCAAGTGTTCGTGTGTTTGTCAGAGTTCTTGCCTTTTAGTATGTTAACGTTCAAGGCCATGATGCTCTGCCTGTCTTCTGGGGAAGGTGGAGCTCAGTATCCCAGAGCTGCCAAGGCTGGGATTAGGCTGGATTGCTGCAGATATCCAGGTCTTTTCTGCATGATCTGTGTACATCCTTCCCGAATTTCAATTTTAATAGGGAAATGTCTACTGATTAAGAAAAATCTCATTACAAGGCTACAGTACAGGTTTGCACACAGGTGGTGGCTCCCCAAGGAGGAGCAGTTGGCCTTGCTGCTTCTTTTTTTTCCTGATCTGATGTTTAAAAAATATATGCAAGGACCAAGTGCCATACTTGGAGAGAGAATTTGGCTTATTACGGATCAAAAGCTATTCAGGTTTACATAGACCCGACAAGTCCTTCTTACTTTAAGCAGCTGCTAAACTGCCTTGAGTTGGTATCCACATAGTGTGCAAACCTATGATTTGTTTAACCAAGCTTTATTAAATGAATAATTGTCTGGATTTACAGTGCCTTCTAAGCCATAGACCAGGAGTGAGTGATCTCTAGCCCCTGAGGCACATTTTTGGAGCCCCCTGACCAGGATTTCTGAAAACAAGGCATATTTTTTGTTGTTTTAGCTAGAAAGCAGATGAAAATTAACAGTGTTTAACTATGGTCCTTCACCATCCAAAGGTGCTCATCTATGTCAGAATTCATGGTTTACAAACTACCATGGCTGGACTCCCACAGCATGTTCCAATATAGTCAGAAGTGATACTGAACTTTGAGTATTCTGGACCTATAGAGAGAGATGGGTACAGGAAGGGTCACTGAAAGGGAAGTGTAACTTCCATATGCTTTACGTAAGAAGTGGGGTTTATAGATCACTCCAAAGACAAAAAACATTAGCTATAGCAGGGTGGCTGTCCTAGGCCACGGGATCAGTATAGCAGGAGGCTCTAGAGCAGTGTTTTTCAAACTTGGCAACTTGAAGGTGTGTGGACTTCAAAGCCCTGGCTGGGGAATTCTGGGAAGTCACATCTTCAAGTTGCCAAGTTTGAAAAACACAACCCTAGAGGGCAACAAAGTTTCCAAATCTTCTAGTATACAGTAGATCATGCAAGAACTCCAAAAGCTCTAACTTGATGCCCTTCTGGTTGGAGGTGATGGTGGTTGTAATTGAACACATCTGAAGGGGGTCAAGTCAGAGAAGACTTCTTTTCCATTTTTAGCCTGTCTAAATGAAAAATACTGATTGTCTTTTCATTTTGGGCAACTGGTTGTCTGTAATGGCCTGCCAAAGTGAAGACTTTTCCCATTTCTAATGGGGCTGCAGAGATATGGTGGATTAAGCATACCCATTTGGTATATGATAATTTGTATGCAGCTCCAGCTAGCACACAAGCCATTCTCTCTCATGCAGAATCTCAGCTCAGTCTGAATCTGTTTCATCATCTTTCTTTTTCTGAACTGCAGGGAGGATGTGCCACATTCCTGTGTCAGCCCTTGGATGTGCTAAAAACACGGCTTATGAATTCCCAAGGCGAATATCGGGTGAGTGATCTGATTGCTGTGGCTGCCAGCTTTCTGATTCGTTAGAGAGCAGGTGCCCACATTAAACACCAGCGGCTAGGTATCGCTGTCTTTGCCACTTGGCATCACACCCCTGTCATTTCAGCATTGTTCTGTTCTTGAACTTCATCAAATAGCTAGAGATGAAGCCTTGTGAGAATTGGGATGGGTTCTGGATATAGAGTCAAATCAGCATGCACTGAGTTCTTCCCATTTTGTTTCAGGGTGTTCTGCACTGTGCAGTGGAGACTGCCAAGCTTGGGCCATTGGCTTTTTATAAGGTAATACAGGAGAGATGGGAGCCACAGTGGGTAATCATGGCAGATAGATCAAGCAGGACCATAAGCTCCACCCTGCTAGAATTTCTGGTTTCCCCCTGCATTCCTGTCCTAGCAGGCTCTGGTCTCCGTTTGGTTTCAGTCTGGCTGTTTCCCTTTATCAAAAATGTGCAAGGTGGCCTCCTTCCTTTTCTTCCAGCACCTTGCCATTGGTGGCAACTTGCCTAAGACTACGTTCTCCCCTTATTGGTTCAGGGCTGCTGAGGAACAGAAGATATACTTTCTCTCAAGTGCTGAGTCCTCATGTGCCGTGTGCCTTTTGATTCCTAGTCCTACCTTGCCTTCTTGGGTCAGAGTGCATTGGAGAAGGCATGATCTATAGTATGTGGCTAAAACTCCACAGTGGACGAAAGCTGATATTACTCTTTTCCTCTTCTAGGGCCTTGTTCCTGCCGGCATTCGCTTGATCCCTCATACTGTGCTTACCTTTGTCTTCCTGGAGCAGCTACGCAAATACTTTGGGATCAAAGTGTTGACCTAAGGGAGAAGGGACCTGCCTTGCTAGAATTAAAAAAAGATGGGGAACAGGGACTGTAGAGTCCCAGAATGGCTGGGTGTCATATTCTTTCCCTCCTTGAGGTGCAGGCAAATCTAAGGTACAGGGCACAATCTGACATCTTACAGAAAGCCCTTGTTTGGCACCTGCCAGTCTCAGTTATTGGCCAGCTCTTCAATATGGTGTGGTGCCAACTAGGGTAATAGCCCATTGAGATTTTCTGTGACTAGTTCCAAATGCCTCTCTTCTCTGCCCATCAGTACCCAGTACCTTTTCAGTGTCATAGGCTTGCTAATATCACAGCAGTCCTCATCAGCCTGCAACCTCTCTATCTCCTGCTATAATAGCCAGCCTTCCAACAGCCATGTCTGCTTTATTTTTACTAATATGCTTTCTTTTGTGCTGTCATTCAGAAAGACCCCCTTTTTCAGTGGTCTCCTGGTCTCATGTTTAGGCCATACCCTACCATCTGCCTGGACATTTTTTTCTCCCCAGGCAGAAGGGTGTTGGCCCTTATGTGGGAAGGAGATTCTTCATCACAAGTTCATCCCTTTCTAAACGTTTACAGTTAGGAAAGGGGTTCTGGTGACTGTCAGGGGCAGCTGACAGCAATATCAGGCAGGCAGAGACCTTGACCTTACAGTGTCTCCAATTATTATTCAGTAATAGGGAGAGAAGGATGCTCTTCTCACTCTGTCCTGCCTGCTCCCTTTCTCCTACCTCAGTCTCCTTTTACCCTCAGAGCTGCAGTCCAAGGACAAGTGGTCCTATGTGTTTATTCCCTGTGATTGGAAGTAGCATAGGGAGGTAATGTCCTTCCACACACCCCAGTCTGTAGCCAGCCTAATATCCCTCTTCTCTTTCGACTGCCTCTTTAAGCTCGTTCAGCCAAAGCCTCCTGAAACCAAAGGGCCTTATACTGATGAGAGGCTGCCTTGGAACACCTCACTAAGAGGGGACCGGCTTCCTGACTGTGTGTAGATCTTCTCCCACCCTGCAGATGGGCAGGGCAGCTGCCTGCTTAAATCCAGAGATGGGAGGTTAAAAATGGTGAGGCCTTGGCACGGTCAGCGAAAGTAGCCTAGCAGATGGGCTCCTTGTTGTTCCTGTGGGATATGGGCTAAGGTGTGAAGTCAGAAGGCCTCCAGTTTTTCAAACTACAATACATTTGTTTGTCAAGCTTTTTTCCTGAGCCTTTTTGGTACCACTGGAAGAAGCATCAAAGGCTGTGGAATCTTCCCAGATTGCCGTGCTTTTACTGTGACATCATCTAGATCTGACTGTAATGTTGATGTGTTCTTTGTTTCTCTGTCTCTGGATCCTGTTAATGAAATGATTTTTGAAGGTCCACTGGCTTGCGTTGCCTGCCTCCTCATCCCCCACCAGCCTGTGAAAGGACTGCTGGCCACATTCAGTGTGCCATTCCAGTTGGTGATTACCTTGCAAATTCCAAGAATCAGAGCCAGTGACCAGCACTTTAGGAGTCATGAAAATAAAGTGATTGTGCAAAATAGGTGTTGCTAATTTTTGGATCTCCAAAAAATCCTACAGTGGGGCAAAAAAGTATTTAGTCAGCCACCAATTGTGCAAGCTTTCCCACTTAAAAAGATGAGAGAGGCCTGTAATTTTCATCATAGGTATACCTCAACTATGAGAGACAAAATGGGGGAAAAAATCCAGAAAATCACATTGTCTGATTTTTAAAGAATTTATTTGCAAATCGTGACCAGCACTTTAGGAGTCATGAAAATAAAGTGATTGTGCAAAGTAGGTGTTGCTAATTTTTAGATCTCCAAAAAATCCTACAGTGGGGCAAAAAAGTATTTAGTCAGCCACCAATTGTGCAAGCTTTCCCACTTAAAAAGATGAGAGAGGCCTGTAATTTTCATCATAGGTATACCTCAACTATGAAAGACAAGAGAACTTGCAGAATTGGTGGCTGACTAAATACTTTTTTGCCCCAATGTATATGCTGCAATGTTGCATTTCAGAATCAAAGCTGGAAACACCTGGAGCAAAAATTGTTGCAGAGAGGATTGGGTTGTGAAACTAGATTGGCAGAATGGAGTAACTTTCCACAGGAATTAGTTTTCAAAACTGTAGAAATGTTTTGAGAATTTGTCTTTCTAAATGATTTTTAATGTTGGAATCACCAACAGTTTCGCTGAAATGTCATTGTAATGTTACTAATTTGGGGGTGGGGTGTGTGGAATCATATGACTCATCTACTGTCCCTTTTGACAAATGACCTAATCAGCCAATAATTGAGAAAGAAGGCAAGACAAAAATTTGTCCAAGCAGTTAAAGCAGTTGCTTCATGTGGAAAATAAAAAGAAATAGAAGGCAGGAGCTTATGATGAATGGTATAGTGAAACCTTGTAAACTGGTGGTAGCATTAGCCACTTCTCTTACTGGGGCAATTGAAGAGATCTGGTTTATCTCTTTGGCTCTAAATTTTTCCTGCTCAGTATTTTACTGTGATTAAAGGAGAAGAAGCTGATGAAATCCCTTCATGGTGTGAGGCAAAGATTAATTCTTTAGGCAGGGAGAATCACTAGCCATAAGCAATCTTGGCTTTGCATTTGAGCAGCTGGCCCTGCCCTGTGACAGACAGAGCCCAGGGTGGCCTAGCAATTCCTAAAATGAGGCCTGCAGGGACAGGGTGGTGGGTCCTGCTAATTGCAAAGCGGTGGTCCTCTGTCATGGGGTGCGTGCCTGAGTGGTGTACAGTCCATGGCTATTACATTCCTGGAAACCTTTGCCATAGTGCTACCTGTGTGGCCTGCCTTGGAGATGTGTCCAGGAGAACCTGCCAATTAGAGTGGGAGTGAAAGCTCATCTCCTTAATGAAGTTTAATGATCCGCAGCATAGCACCATCTCGTTCCAAGTGCGGCTGTTTTGAACAATGATCTGGTGTCAAGAGGTAAAAACAGCCTGGAGGGCCTGTTAGTGACTGAGGCATCCTGAGAACCAGACCGAAGGGGGCCTAAGGGATCTAACCATGCCTCCTTTGCGACCATCACTGAACAGGCCCCCAGGCGTTTCTGGGGCAGCAGGCACTTGGGTTCATTTGCTTTGTCACCTTGAATGTTTAGCCTCTTTGAGTACCTCTGGATACAAGGGAAAATAGGACAACTGTATTGTTCACAAAGGGGGGGGGTTCCTCTTCCCCACCCTGCCCACCTTGACACTCCAGTACTGAGTTGATGAAGGGTGCCTCCAATGCTGGAGCTGTGGAGATGGCCGCAGGCACTGTTGCCACTCAGCAGATGGAGCTCAAGCACTGATGGCTCCCTTTATAGCCCCTGTTAGCATTGGAGAGGAGAGGAAGCACATGCGACTCCTGGTTTTGTTTTCAATTTTCAAGCATTTTTTTGCACATACGTGTTATGGTCTGGATCAGGCCAACTCTGGTTGCAACATAATGACAGAGGGAAGCTGACAGTTTGATATTCCTTACAGAAGCTTAACTGTACACAGAAGTGATTGTAGCAAGTGGAGACTTTCAAGTGTACATAGCTCTGCTTGCCAAAAAATTAGGGGTTCATTGCTGTATGGTGGAATGATGGAGTTTACCCAACAAAATGAATCACATTTTAGTCTAGCGTTTTGTGGGAAGCTAGCCCTTGTGGTTAGTTTCTGGTCAATGTGTTTTGAATTCAGAAAATTGAGGTGAGCAAACTGTAGTTAAGTTAATCATAGGTTAAAAACCTAGTTTATTCTGTAGGTAAACCATAGTTAATCATGGGTAAGTGCATCATGCAAACAGCCTATGTGCAACTATGGAGTGCTGGGAAAGGGTGTACAGTTGGCACCTATGCACACCTCTAAATACAGCATTCTCCAGTGTTGCTAAAAGCTGAGGCCTGTAGTTTGGCCCAGCAGCCCCACTCTTGTCTAAAACATATGGCATGAAAGTAGAGTGTTTCTGCCCAGTCAGCTCTCAGTTCTTAGCATGGGCCCAGCAATGTGCTATGTCTGAATTGGAATGACAGAACCAGAGAAAGGTGCTCCTGGCCCCTCTGTTGGTGGCCTCCACAGCTCTTGAATATTCCAGATCTTCAGTGAAACATCACCCTCAATTTTGAATAGTGCTTCAACTTTGCACTGAAATATCTTTGGAGATATTCCTTAATGGGCTTTCTATTAATTATTAATATTATGGGATTAAGAGGGATCTGATCCTTTGTCAATGTTTAAGATGGATTTTAGATTCTACGCACTGTTGGAATCCCATTTTAACTTAAGCTGAAAGAAAACATGAATAAAGTTACTGATGGCCTAATTTACATATTATGGCTAAGCCATAATGCAAGTTGTTTATTGTGCAAACCCAGATGATTGAATTACATGGCTGAAGAATGATTTGAATCGAGCTCCAAGGGATCAAGTGGCAAAAGAAATCAAGGTCCAGTCCCAAAAAAACCCTCTGTTTCTTGACCATGTCAGTGTAGATTTAATTCACAGACTGCTACGTAAAGACACAACTGAAAATGGGATTTTCTGTCATATTCAGATTGCCGTTATGAATAAGCCTGTCTTCCAGGTCACTGTAGTTCAATAGGAATTTAATTTAATTTCTGAATTGATTGTGAACCAGTGGTGTGTGTGTGGGGAGATGTGTGTTGAAAACGGGTGGTATGATGCTACAGATCTTTGTTACTCCCAAAGCTGCGGAAGGTTGGAGAATGGGGCAATTTTTTGAATCCTGATTTTTAAACTCTCCTATTGTTCAACTGGAGGAGAAACTGTACTATATGGAAGTTCCATTAGCTTAAATATATTTCAGACTAAGACCTTGTTTTGTGTTGACGCTCCATAAGAATGTCAACTAAGCAGATGGTTTAGTTTTTAGTTAATCCAGAAGCAGAAACTGTTGCATTCAGGAGCTATACTTTGATTTCTTTTTCTTTTATTTTAGATTCTAAGATACACAGTATGTGTGGCTGGTAATACAGTGATGTCACTGGGATGGGTGGGAAAGCTGAATTATTCAACATTTTTGGTTGGGATTAAAAAAGAGACAAAGTGGCTGTATTAATTAAGCCTCATGTCTAAAAACTGTGAAAACTGGTGCTGCTCAAAATTAGCAGTTTTGCCGGCCCTTCAGTAGGCTCTGTCTGGAGATGATCTTGAGACTGCAATACTAAGTTTGGGGAGGTTCCTTGCTGAAGCCCATGTGCTGCCATTTCAGCATTCAACTTGATTTTGTTTCAGGTTAGTAGTGGTGTACTTAAATAAGATAAATGAAGGTATCCAGCATTGCAAACTGCCCTAGACTTTTCTGACATGGGTACTTAATTCATATTCCAAACCAGCTTATGTACTTAGTTAAATCTGATTGTAAAGCTCTTCTTCAGGTTGCATATAAAGAACAGTATCTTTTTCTCATTCATTATAATAAATGTTCCTTCATGGACAAACTTTTGCCCCTTGCATGTAAAGATTATATGTTAAGGGAATTATTAAAATGCAGCATATTTGTGATATAAATATAAAAAGCAGTATAGCTGAGTGCATAGATAGGCAGCATGTTTGCAGCCACCAGTGTGTATATGTGTGTGAGTGTGTATGTGTGTGTATAGATAGATAGATAGATGGAGCTATAGATCTCTCTCTCTCTCTCTCTCTCTCTCTCTCTCTCTCATAAAGCCAGGGGTCATGCATTGCAGGGGGCACAGTAGTGACATAGTGACAGGCACTAATGGACAGGACCAAAATTTTCAACATTCCAGCAACATGATATGGGAGAGTAGGGGGTGCAAATTACAGTTCTGTAATTAAATTACTCTGCAATTCAAATCCCTAATGAGCTATGAAACTAGAGGCCCTGGAGTGACTTACCATCTCTCTTCCTAACCTGGCCAACAGAGTTATAGCAAGGCTAATCACCTGAAGCTTTCTGGGGAAAAATGATATTAATAAATATATACTTATATTTATTGGACTGGCATGAAACATGCCTCAGAGTTTATGCCTCTGTTTTACATTTATATAAGTATATAGTGTCAAGTTTTGTTTTCTTTTTCAAACAATGGGATACGTTTTCCAAGTGAGGAATGAAAACACAGATGTTGTTGTTACTGTTTTGTTGTTACATTTCTTAGATTTATTGCTGAATTCTTCACCAAAGTGGCTCCCAAAACAGATATCAGCTTGCTGGAAAGTTTTGTGAGTGCACCAAACCAGACAGCGTGATGCTCTTTTAGAGTTTCATTGGCTTGAAGCTGGCACCCCAACACAGCAGGAGAGAGAAAATGGGCAAGATGTCACTGGCCAGCAACTGCTAATTGGTGATAGCAGCCAGCCATGTTCTTCAAAGCAGAACACAAGCCATCTCTGTGAGCTATTGTCACTGGGCCCTTAAACATCTGCCCCCCGCCCCCCCCAGTTTCAGGTGGTTTTAAGAGCAGTCTGTTGCTTATTTGCTTCTAGAAAAGATAACTGGGAGGAGAAGGTGGAAGAGAAACACAATAGAGCTTTATAAAACTGCAGAAATGATCTGTCTCT